GTGGAGCTAATCCGTGTCGGATAGAGACAGGTATCTACCTCAGTACAATGGAAGATAGCAGCGCAATTTCGTGGATTGGTTGAGGTTAGGCATAAACACTGTTGGGTACCGGTTCAGAGGTTAAGAGTTTAAGCGTTCGCGCGCGAGACCGAAGGCCCTGGGTTCAAATCTTTCATGCAGGATCGTGGATGCGCACTGCCGAGGAGTCCCATAATTAGACAAAATGGTTGTCCAGTGCTTCCAGGTTTTCAGTGGTGGACGAAAATCAATCGGTTCATGATCTTAATCTGAAAAAGTATAATTTGATCGCTGACATTATTCTAAAATACATAATATTTCAGGTTTTTTGTTATTCCATATTTTTAAAACTATGAAACCTGGTTACTAGTCAAGCTTCTTTTTAACATGTTACATTACTTACTTCATTAACACTAATGTTTAAAGCTTCATCGTTCTAAAACTAATAGGACTTGAGGTGACCGTGATTACCCTAACGATACCTCAAACCAGGATACTACGGTTTCCTTGTCCTTTGACTACAACTCCAACTGCAAAACACAAATCATGTTAGGGACGTGAATTCGGTAAAGACCCTTGAACAGTTCAAGTTGTATCTGATTTCCTCATGTTATGGCTCCGATTAGATTCAACGTTTATAAATTACGAAAATTATCAAACTGAACGCTTGCCGTTTGAACGCCAAGACACAGAGAATTTCTACAACTAAATATCATACTGAACAAAAATCCGGTGAACGAGAAATATTAATAGACTAATTAATGTTATACTAAGCAGAAATTATGCAGAATTAGTTTCAAAATCACATTGAATGACTATGAAAACCAGTTCAATAAAAATCTTCATCTACCATCAATTTGTCATTTTATTTTTATGACGAGAAATAGATTGATTTCCTGTTTCAGGTATCAATGATCCGTGTTTGAACCAAAGAACTATTCTCATAATATTAGTCCAATTTTTGTTTAGCTAATAAATATTTAAATAATTTTAATGAAAACAATTAATTAAAATGATCCATTGTGTTACTGAATAAAAATAAAGATTATTCAGTGAAGAAAATCTTCTTTTCAACAAATCTTTTACTTAAGCTGTACATTTACATTTATAGTTGTTTCGTAATTATATAAGTCTGTGGAATTATAGAAAAGATTGCATTATAAAGTGATCCAAGACTTCAGTTATCAAATGATGTTACGTAATAATCAAAGCGTTAGAGAAGAATAGAAGGATGAAAATAATTTACGGATAAGAATTATGAAAGATTGATTATTAAGTAACCTCACTTGATAATTTTAGTCTTGAATCACTTTATGATGCAATCTTTTCTATCCTTCTATAGACATATATTTAGCATACAACCATAATTATAAATATACAACTTGAGTAAATGATTTCTTCGGAAAGAAGACTCCTCTGGAGCAACGTGACCAGAGTTGATCAGGTGCTCCCGTATTGAGCTAGTCATAGTTTCGTGTTCCCCCCATAAAAGCTACACGGAGTGATTTTCTTAAACGTGTCTAGAAAGTGTTCGCTTCACAACAGCAAATGCATTTATAAGTGCATATCGATGTAGATCAGGTTGGAAGTTTATCTTCAACACGTCTGAAAATGGTAGGTCAGTTTGAGTAAATAATAAAAACTTATCTAAACAGAAATTTCTCCCCAAGGATTTTGATATTTGTTTATTCACGATATCAGCAGCCGTATCTCCTTTGACTTCGGCGTTCATAAAAGGAAGTTTTTTTAGAACTATCGGTGTTTTTTCAGAATATGTTGTTCATGATAAGTTTCCATCGATGAATCTGGGTGGATAGGCATTTCTGGTGAGTGTCTGTCGAAGTTAAAGTAGTTCATCATCTACTGTGTCATCTATTGTGTCCTTGAGCATGAATAGTGAATTAATTTTCTCTTTCTGCTCATTGGGACTGAGTTATGGAAATTCTCATACTGAACAAAACAGGTCAGTTTCCTATACATATTTCTTTGTGAAAAACCATTTGGTTTTCTTTTCAGCAGTACAGAAAGAAAACAAAATTCCACGCTTAGGCACATGATTTTACTGAAAAAGGATCAACTCCCAGAACATGGTCAACACATGCGTATTTGTTATTGAAAACCACTGTATTAATAAACATATGACATGATTAAAATAACATTTATCGAAAGAGAAATTGATTCTGCATGATATCACGTTAAGTCATATGACATAATGGTGAAAACTGAATTCAAAGGACTTCATTGGAAGTAGAATCAAGAAACCTTGCTATTATTTGTACTATAGTGACTAGATACATTTTATGAATCAATTTCACTAAGTTTTATATGTAACTAAAGTTATAACAAATGTTATGTAACACACAGTTATAATCAGTGACTGGGAGTGAAAATTACACAGATTCCAGCTACTGTGAGTTTCTGTAGTCAAAAGGCTCACCAACTTAGTTGCTCCATCTGACTCTGTAAGATGATGACGACAAACGATGACATATGGATCTTTACTAACTTCGTATATATTCTCTAGCTGGATATTGTTAATACTAACGGAATAAAAGTCGAATACGAAAGTATTTTGACTATGTATAATTCATACATTCATTTAAATAGATAGGAGATAAAAGATGGATATAGGCATGATAGTCACTTCAAGTCTACTCACAGTAATTCGATATGAATCAATTTATATGTGAAAAAAGTTACATAGCCAAATCGAGATGTGCATGAGCATATAGAAATGTACATAGATGTTGTTAAGCTCATTTTCAATTCCTGTCCCTATCCTCACCTCATTCAATACGTTTCTCATGTTTTGCTTTATACTACTAAGGAATATTCGGTTAACAGTTGCATTTTTAGTAGCTTCTAAGCCTATGGTGTAACGCAAGTTTGTTTGCTGTGTAGTATGCTAAATTATTTACATATACTTATAACATTTACTCTATTCATTATTATAATTACTTTCAACCCTTATAACAGTTATTCCCAGTTATGTACATTCCTTGAGTCTTTGTTTAAACACACCATCTTCCATATTTGAGTGCTCTTAGTTCACATTTTAGTCATTGACAAACCACTGTTAAAGTTATACATAGCTATCAGCTATCGTATGTTGTAATTTCTGCTTATGTTGTTATTACAGGAAGCCTTTCTCTTTCCAAACATACAGACGCGTCAATCGTTACAGACACTTCACGAATCGACATTTTTAACTAACTTGTGTTTATTCATCAATAATAGGACCGTTCTTTAGGCAAATAGCTGTTTCATGCGTATTTCAACCATGTAGTTGGACCATCCGGTAGAACTAACAAATATAAGTCAAGACTAATTGTTATTGAATATTCCCAATATCACCAATAACTAAATTTTCACATACAAAAATAAGTTCACACAATGGTTTGTATCAATCAGTCATGTCAGTTGACGATAGAGTTGTTAATTTGATTGAGTGCTGATTATGTTCGAAATGTATATGGGGTCGCCACACTGACAACTGAGGATGTTTGTACGGTAGATGTTTTCCGTCTTTTTTATGAATTATATGTTATCTTTATTCGGAAAATGATTTACAACTATTTACTAATCCATATACATCTTGTGAAGTAGGTTCACATAATACCTTATTTTATCCTCTTTGAATTGACTCATTTTATTTATTATAAAGATATTCTGTGTACGACATAACAGGACAGTATTAGTCTCCAGTTACATCAATGTTATGTCTGTCACTGTTATGTTTACAGAATAGTTAACTAACTTCTATGCAGTACCGAAATCTGAATCCAACGCTGTATAGTTAAAATGCGAAGACTAGTAATATAGATTTACTTGACTCGAAAAACAAATTAGAATAATACATGAATACACTCATACAGATCGATTTTACTAACACTTGACGATTATTAAACAATTTAATAGTGGAGTTCATAAGTCAATTAAAGCTAGACCACGATGGAGAACCTGAAAGCACTGGACGGCCGTTTCGTCCTATTGTGGGACTCCTCAGCAGTGCGCATCCATGATCCCGCTAGTGGGATTCGAACCCGGTCCAGTGGTCAAGTACGTTAAGCGTTCGCGCGTGAGACGTAAGGCCCTGGGTTCGAATCCCACAAGCGGATCGTGGGTTCTCACTGTTTCCAATGGTTGTCTAAAATCAATCGGTCCGAGATCTCAATCAATAACTTCATAATCTCCACAACCCTATACTGATATATCCTACTTTACAGATTTATATTAAACGTATTGTAAAAAATTCGTTACTTTTTCATAAATTTTTATTATTACCACTATTATTGTCGGGTGTGAACAGTTGTCAAACGGCCGTTAGTTTCATATTCAGTAAAATTTGACGGCGAATTTTGTTAGTGTGTCATCGCAATTTTGCAATAAATTGTTACAATCGTATCATTACTGATAATAATAATAATCGTAATATGACTAATAAAATATTGTAACCTGAAAATTGGATTATCTTTTCATATAGAGAAACAAAGACAACTTTCATTAGATTTATGAATAAATGACAATATCATGATTGTTCTTCGCAAACTGTGTAAAGTTTAGTCAATCCGATCGGATTATTTCGAAAACTCTGAACGTATCATGAATAAAGTACGCGTCATACAAACATACTATACATTATTAGCGCCTATGTCTTAAATGCCTGCATAAAAGTAATCTAGAAATCGCGGTGTACACGTATATTACTGATAAAAATAAATTTGTATCAGTATAAAGAGCCACGCATGCATTCTGTAATCATTTTCATATATTATATCGCTAGCATAACACTTCTAGATGGGTTAAATATATGTATTTAAAACTTTAAGGAGATAGTGAGATGCCCTTTTTCTCTTAAACTTAAAATGAAATTATTAAAGTTCTATACCCAGCGCTTTTTATACTAACTCAGGTAAGTTCATGTTTCCCAAGTACATTAAGTAATGATGCTTCTTTAGATTAAATCAAAGATACTTGGTCGTTTCATAAACTAATTTTTTATTCTTTTACAAATAAATATACAGCTCATTGTAGAATAAACAATCTAATGGGACTTAGTAAAAAGTTTGTTACCATAATAAAGTGGTGTTATACAATCCACCCATTGTTTGGTATACGTGAAACATGCATCATTTTAACAATTACCAATACAGAAAACCAAATAAATTCATTATTCTAAAGTACATGTTGATGTTGTTCAGAAGAATAATGAAAGCTTCACAATTGAACTATCCAATCCGGAGAACACAACACCTCCAAAATCTCATTGAGCTACAATATTATTTATTATTTCCTTAAGAACTGGCGTTATTCGAGTAATTGGAAAACGATGAGACACTTGTCAGCTGTTTCACATATCAATTATGTCCAAACAGGAGAACCACAGGGAGTTGAATACCGACTCACAAGGTATTACAGGAAGCATGATACTTTAGATAATACAACCGGAATCTGATCAGTGATTTTTTTCGCCTTGACTCAATTTCTTGTATAAAGCATTTTTTATTCAGTATCATATCAATAAACTAACGCTTTGTTCGCAACTTCTTAGACTCCACTTGGTAACAACTTCACACTAATAGTTTAGGGAATTAATTTTGATGTAGGTTGATAGCAACTACACAATCATCACCTACATCGCCATATCTACATTACTTTAAAAAAGAACAAATGTATTTAGTTTAGTAGCAAATTTATTCACTGTTGATAATTCACACAGATAATACATATATTTAACACCATAAATGTGGTTATGCGGTCTATTACTGACTATTTAAATTAGTAGTATTACTTTTTCCATTGAAAAAATAAGCCAGTATTGTTATTAGCATTAGCTAGCAATATAAATGCTTTACAATAGTCCGCTTGAGTATTATTCAGTCTAGCAACGTATACTACCAATTTTTAATTTTATTTGAGAAAATGTTAGAGAGCTTACAACTTAAGTCACGTAAAAATAATCACACCTTCTACAGATGCTCCAGATCACCCGAAATTAATAACAGTACTCCTGTTACCACGTTTATTTTAAAACTGTGTTCTATAATCATTAATAATTTAGTTTTATCAGTTCATTTATCACCAACTGAAAACAATTTATACATGCCACATTTGATTGGTTATGTGGTGAGTTGAAAGCTTGTTCTGTTCCTATAAGAAATTGAACTTAGATGACTTTTTTTACCAGTAAAATTACATAATTTATCGATAAGCTGGATTAATTAGACACATCAGTTTAGGGTCAAACGATTAGTAAGAGGTGTCGATGAGCACAAGCTTTCGGTCGAAATTCGGCTTGACTTTCCGAAAAAGCAGATATACAATAGTAGTCGAAAAACTGGCTTAAGCTTCTGGGGAACACATCGGAATGAATGAGGTTGTGGTAAAACTTGATGAAGCCATGGCTTAGTGTTTAGGTCGTTCAACCTCTAGCCACTAAGTCCAGCCTCACCTACTTCAGTTTGAACGACCAAATAGAATGACTACCCTTCATAATTGAAGTGTGCTTGATACCCACGTATATAGAGAATGAGTTGATTTAAAAAATTCATAGTTGATTCATTTAACCAATAAAAGCTTCCTACTTACAATTGGTTCCCTCATTCGAGTAGCAGATTGATACCGTATATAAGAAGCGTGTATATGAGCATGTTAGCTCTTTTCATTTTGGACGACAGAATTAAGATTTAACATCAGGGAATATAAGACTAATGTTATAATTGAACTTGAAGTAAATTCATCGTTTCACTCAACAAACTGGTCTAAACTTTTATAAGGAAATATAATCAAACATCAAATTTATCAAATCAACTAAATGTATCACATAAACATTTGTCAATATTTTACATATTATCATTAATACCCAACAATAATATATTTAAACATTAAATTTAAATGAAATGAAGACTAAGTAAACTGAATCCTAAAATCTGTACATAGTATAATTTAAAGATAACCATTAATAGTCGTAAACAGATAAATTTCATTAAATTATTTCATCGTATTAAGAAACTAACAGATTTCATTTACTGAAATGAGTATTTGAAAAGAAACAATGTGATTTTTCCAAAGCCCTAACAAAAATTAATGGCGAGACTGTAATTTATGGACGAGTCAATCAGAAGCGTTTGAGAGATTTCAAGGTCACGGTGCCAAGGTCGTCGTCCATATATTATAGTCTCGCCAAATTAATTAATATATAAAAATAATTTGTTTTTCTAACTGTATTAAATGAACACGAATGGAAAGTAAGAACAAACGGATAGTTTGAATAAATAACGGATAGAGAACAATTGAAACATCAAGTAATTCTATTATGGTGAAAATTTGTGCAGCTTAGAAGAAAAGATTAAAAATTTAACAGTGCTGTATTATTAGACTTTGGAGAACACAACTAAGACTATCAAAATTAATTACATTGAAAAGAGAGGACGAATTGGGCAATATAAAAGAAAATATAAAAAAATTGAATAAACTTTTCAATTATTTGATGTATCCCAAGTGATTGTTTTAATATCCATAAATTCATGTAAAGCATTTGGTCCACCTTCACGTCCAATCCCGGAGTTTTTTATTCCACCAAATGGTAATTCAATAGTACTTACAAATCCTGTATTTAAACCAACCATTCCAACTTGTAATTCATCTGCAATTCGCCAAGCTTGATTAATATTCTCAGTGTAAATGTAACCAGCTAAACCATATGGGGTTGCATTAGCTAATTCAATCAATTCTTCCTCATTCTTGAATCTGAATGTTATGAGGAAGAGAGATAAGTAAAATGTAGTAGTCAGTAAATATACAAGTTCTAACAAAATACGTACTCAGTCGATAAACTAAGTGGTCGTTCAACATGTCACATTGTCTAGTCCTTAGTTGTGTTCGCATTAAAAATTAGTCACTAATTGATTCAACTTAGCGGTCGACATTTTTTTGAAGATACATATTCGAAGGTAGATGAAATAGAATCTCTGAAATTAAGTTTCCATGTTAGGTAGGACTGAAGAAATGGAGGATCTCTTTAGAATTGGTTTTTACATCCCAGTGGAAATATAAATTCTCTTAAGATTGTATATGCGTCTTTCTTGATTCGTTTTTTAAGTTGGCTGGTTGTTTATTCGAGAAAATATGAGCTACACAGTATAACACTCTTGATTTTCAACTCAACCTAATTTCTGTAACTCACCTAGCTTGTGTTGCGCGTGCTGTGGGGTATAAGTCAGTCAGTCACAACGTCGAACCTAGTAGGTATGTACATCGGTTCAAGTTGCCATACCCCATTAGCAGAGATGAAATTGTCAGGCCGAATCCCAGAATGGTAGAGGCAGTAACAGTATTAGTGGTAATAAGAAAGGTTAAGCAGCGAAGACATGAAGTAAGAAAATATAAATTAGAGAAAGAAAAAGAAAGCTATGATGAATTTAGGAACTCGGAATTTGAGGGGGGGAGAAAGAATAGATGCAGCTGTGTCATGGCAAACGATTTTGGGTCATGTCATTTAAAGTCTCTAAACACACGGACCCCAACCAGGTAGTCTACACCTATTAACATGGCTTAGTCCATTTGTCTTCATGGACTGATGTCATGTTTTGGTTTGGCCACTCCTGTCTTTCTTTGCGCATACTTCTACACCACATAACATCGCCCATTGAGGTAGGCAGTGGTTGGGCATATACAACACATGTCCCAACCACCCCAGTTGATGAACATTTGTCACGCCATCAATCGATAAGTCACTGCACTTTTACTGCGGGGTAACAAAAGAGTATATTATAAACAAATTATAGAAGTGGCCAAATTAGCATATATATCAACGACAGATGAAGTTACTTATTGTTCAGCTGAACCATATTGATAAATTTGAACACCCAAGTTTGAGACCGTATAATAATCATCATCAGTGAACGTAGTCATTAGATGACACATGGCTTAAAATCGATGGTTTGAAATTAGTTTTGTTCTTACACTAGAATTTTATTATTTCAAACTGTTCATGTCTGGCAATTTTATTTTTTTCTGATCAAATGACATTTTACAATTACTTTTATTCGTTTGCTATTGTTTTTGCATTATGAATCTTGTTAAGGAAATGAAAGGATATTAAACTTTTTTAAATTAAAGTTCATCTATCATGAAACACACCTGCAAACTGAAGCAACAGGACCGAAAACCTCCTCTTCCATACATGCCATTTTTGTGTGACAATTCGACAGAACAGTTGCCGGATAAAAATAACCATTGGAGTAATCAAATCCAAATGAATTTTTACCCTTTAATCTACTATGGCCACCAATTAATGGATGTGCACCATGTTCTACAGCTAGATTAACTAATTTTTCAATCTGGAAAAAACGATAAAATTGGAAATTATTACACTTTTATTAAATGTTCACAAATTTGAACATAAGTTAATTTAAAAAACTTCTGAAAACAGAATGTTATTGTCTCTGTACTAAACCCACCCAGCTCAATCTATGTCAGCTTAAGTCACCACAGTTCATATTACTGACACGATAAAAAGAAACCAACCAGAGAATGGAAAAAATAATATAACAACGACAATAATAGACAATGATGAAAAATCTCTTCTTAAAGTAGCAAACGAACTGGGAAAAAAGATGTCAGGAATGTAAAATATAGGATCTCAGTAAGTTGGAGATGTAAAGGACGATAAACAATTAATAGAATACACGTATGTGATTTCTCTCCCACTTTCATTGTTATACAATTATTTATAATGATTGGCATGTGGTCTCATAATTAACAGTACTACTTAACCAGAGAACAATATAGATATATTTTCTGTATTTTCAAATGACGAAGACATTTTCCTTTGTTAGCCATCTCATTTTTTGTACACGGGAAAAAGCAATGAAACAGCAGGAATTCGAACTTATGAACAAGCCGTAAAAAGAAATAAATGGTGCCATGACAATGAAGTGATTTATTTTATAAAAAGAATATTATTGAAATTCATTGCAGATAACAGTAAACGACTTTTTATGACATAATTGATGACTTTACATTGTATTATGATAACTTTATCGGTATACATCACAGGAAGAGGTAGTTTTTTTTTACATTGATTATTACTATTCTAGAACTCCGCCTGGAGTCCCTCCGGGGGCTACTGCCGGTCCCAAGCCCGGATAAAGGAGGAGGGTTGGGCATGGGGTTAGCGTCCCCATCCCGTAGAAAACTAACTCGCTAAAAAAACGCTAACCAGAAAAAATTATTCAAACCTTTTAAACTCTGCCCTGGGAGTCAGAAGGTCTTCATTTAGAAGAATTATGACGCCTCATGATGAAAGCCGAATTCCTTCGGAAGTTACGAGGCCGATGCCCCTTCTGACAACCAGAGCGACCATTTATTTAGGTACATGGAATGTTCGTACAATGTGGGACACCGGAGAGCCTTCCAAATTGCTGCAGAAATGAGAAGATACAACCTAGAGGTACTTGGGATCAGTGAAACACATTGGACACAAGTTGGACAACAACGACTAACTACAGGAGAGCTCCTGTTATACTCCGGCCATGAAGATGAAAATGCACCACATACACAAGGAGTTGCATTGATGCTGTCCAAACAAGCGCAAAATGCGCTTATAGGATGGGAATCTCATGGACCAAGGATCATCAAAGCCTCGTTCAAAACAAAGAAAGAGGGTATTTCAATGAACATCATCCAATGCTATGCGCCTACCAACGACTACAATGAAGACGCTAAAGATCAATTCTACAATAGGCTGCAGTCAATCGTCGAGAAGTGCCCAACAAAGGACCTGACTATTCTGATGGGAGATTTCAACGCCAAGGTTGGAACGGACAACACTGGATATGAAGACATCATGGGACGACACGGACTGGGAGAAAGGAACGAAAATGGTGAGAGATTTGCAAATCTATGTGCCTTCAATAAGCTGGTCATAGGCGGCACCATATTCCCACATAAACGCATACACAAAACCACATGGACTTCACCGGATCACACTACACAAAACCAAATCGACCATATTTGCATCAACAAAACGTTCAGGAGGACTATAGAGGACGTGAGAACCAAGAGAGGAGCTGATATAGCATCAGATCATCACTTGCTGGTCGCCAAGATGAAATTGAAACTCAAGAAGCACTGGACAACGGGGCGGACAATATCACAAAAGTTCAATACGGCCTTTCTTCAGGATACTAACAAACTCAACAAATTCAAGATAGTCCTCAGCAACAAGTTCCAGGCCTTTCATGATCTACTCAATGGAGAAGGAACTACTGTGGAGAGCAACTGGAAGGGGATCAAAGAGGCAATCACTTCAACATGTCATGAGGTCCTGGGTCACAAGAAGCACCATCACAAGGAATGGATCACTGTTGATACACTGGATAAGATTCAAGAAAGGAGGAACAAGAAGGCAGCAATCAATACCAGTCGAACAAGAGCAGAAAAAGCCAAGGCACAAGCTGAATACACAGAAGTAAACAAACAAGTGAAGAGGAGCATCAGAACCGACAAACGTAAATATGTGGAAGATTTAGCAACGACGGCGGAAAAGGCTGCAAGAGAAGGAAACATGAGACAATTGTATGACACGACAAAGAAACTCTCTGGAAATCGCCGCAAACCAGAACGACCAGTGAAAAGCAAGGAAGGCGAGGTAATCACCAACATTGAAGAGCAACAAAACAGGTGGGTAGAACACTTCAAAGAACTCTTGAATCGACCAGCTCCACTGAACCCACCCAACATCGAAGCAGCACCCACGGACCTCCCAATCAATGTTGGCCCACCAACAATTGAAGAAATCAGCATGGCCATCAGACAAATCAAGAGTGGCAAAGCAGCAGGACCGGACAACATCCCAGCAGAGGCACTAAAAGCAGACGTAGCGGCAACTGCAAGGATACTCCACATTCTCTTCAATAAGATTTGGGATGAGGAACAAGTACCAACAGACTGGAAAGAAGGACTTCTGATCAAAATACCGAAGAAAGGCGATCTCAGCAACTGTGATAACTACAGGGGCATCACTCTTCTCTCAATACCGGGAAAAGTCTTCAACAGGGTATTGTTAAACAGGATGAAGGACTGCGTAGACGCCCAACTTCGTGACCAACAGGCAGGATTCCGTAAGGATAGATCGTGTACAGACCAAATCGCAACTCTACGGATCATTGTGGAACAATCAATTGAATGGAATTCATCACTCTACATCAACTTCATTGACTACGAAAAGGCATTTGATAGCGTGGACAGAACAACACTATGGAAACTTCTTCGACACTACGGCGTGCCTCAGAAGATAGTCAATATCATACAGAATTCATATGATGGATTACACTGCAAAATCGTGCATGGAGGACAGTTGACAAAGTCGTTCGAAGTGAAGACCGGTGTTAGGCAAGGTTGCTTACTCTCACCCTTTCTCTTTCTCCTGGTGATCGACTGGATCATGAAGACGTCAACGTCTGAAGGGAAGCAGGGATACAATGGACATCTAGGATGCAGTTGGACGATCTAGACTTCGCAGATGATCTGGCCCTTCTATCCCAAACGCAACAACAGATGCAGGAGAAGACGACAGTGTGGCAGCAGCCTCAGCAGCAGTAGGTCTCAATATACACAAAGGGAAAAGCAGGATTCTCCGATACAACACAGAATGCACCAATCCAATCACAATTGACGGAGAAGATTTGGAAGATGTAAAAACCTTTACATATTTGGGCAGCATCATTGATGAACAGGGTGGATCTGATGCAGATGTGAAGGCGCGGATCGGCAAAGCAAGAGCAGCATATTTACAACTGAGGAACATCTGGAACTCAAAGCAACTGTCAACCAACACCAAGGTCAGGATTTTCAATACAAATGTCAAGACAGTTCTACTGTATGGGGCAGAAACCTGGAGAACTACGAAAGCCATCATCCAGAAAATACAGGTGTTTATTAACAGTTGTCTACGCAAAATACTTCAGATCCGTTGGCCGGACACTATTAGCAACAACGTACTGTGGGAGAGAACAAACCAGATCCCAGTGGAGGAAGAAATCAGGAAGAAGCGCTGGAAGTGGATAGGACACACATTGAGGAAAGCACCCAACTGCGTCACAAGACAAGCCCTCACATGGAATCCTGAAGGCCAAAGGAAAAGAGGAAGACCAAAGAACACATTACGCCGAGAAATGGAAATAGACATGAGAAAAATGAACAAGAATTGGATGGAACTAGAAAAGAAGGCCCAGGACAGAGTGGGTTGGAGAATGCTGGTCGGCGACCTATGCTCCATTGGGAGTAACAGGCGTAAGTAAGTAAGTAAGTATTACTATTCTAGACAGAGGTTCTTATTTTTTGTCTATGACTTTCGTCAGGAACTAATATGTACAGACACTGTATTTGAAAACGTGAACAATTTGGGTTCTATCTAAGTGACTCAAGGGTGTTTTGCTCACCATGAGACCTGAAGGTCCTGTGTTTTATCCCAGTTGAAATTATGAGTGTGCACTGTTTCGAAATCTCACACTGATGAAATGCCTGTTCAGTACCAAACCTTCCTTGATTTGTAATGGTTCCCCACATTTGATATCCCCTTTGCGACACAAAACCACCTAACAATCTAATAATAGATAATAATGAAGAAAACATAACGAACGAATTCGAATAACTTAAATTTCGAAATGATGGGTCTACATAAGACTATTCTATTGTTCCATATAGTTCGTTAATGAAATAGGCTTGGTACACGGACGTGATACTTGAACAATAATCTAAAAAATGAATTTTACAATATTCAGACATTCGAATAAGCAGTCTGAACGATTCGGCTGGCAAGCTAATTTGATTGCAAAATTAAGTAGTAGTCGAAATACTAATGAGCAACAAGTGCGAAAAATAGTAAGTTTACGATTTTCTACAGGAAAATAAGGAGTACAAGTAAAGTGTGAAGATGATATTATGAAAAAGAAACTAAGGACTTAAAAACGAAACACAAAAATTCGCTATACCTTAGTTAAAGCCTTTTCATTGATAACTGGACCTAAATTGGTATTCGGATTAGCACCGTTACCCATGTGAAGACGAGAAACAGCCTCAGTTAGTTTGTTAACAAATACGTCATGTATTTCATCATGAACAAAAATACGATTTGCTGATATACAAGTCTAGGAAAGAGGAAAAATATGGGAAGCAAAAAAAACACCTTGATAATTTAAATCGGATGAAAATATAATATCCTAATGACAAGTAGCTTACATTACAAAAACATCTAGATTGCGGAACAAACATATGGCTAACACTAGTAATACATCAATCACACTTAAGTAATTCGTAATATATGTAACATGTAACAATGGTGTACAACAGCCCCTAAAAAATACATTGTGATCACTACAAGATGAATGAAATAAAATCTAGCCAACAGTAAAGTATCTGATAAAGTCTAAGTGATAGCAGCTGTAAAGCAATCAATTCACTGAATGATTTCCACAGTCATTGTACGAAAAGTATATCATTTCAGAACTTGGTAAATGATAGATATAATATCTACGGAGTGCTTGATTTCATGCATACACATCTTTTGTGTTGAACAGGTGAAATTTCAGTATATTCCATTGTTTGTATATTCTTTATTCTATATCTGAAAAGTATTCTTCACAACCCAGTCATTTTCACCTCTTAACGTGAATATAACATACTAAAGTTATAACACGTAAGCCAAGTTACAGGTTATACATCTAATTATTACTCATTAAACAGTTCACAAACAAATGGCGTTTATTGAAAAGGTCTTCAGGGATAATTCATCCTGAGAATGTCCTACTGCCATCGCTTTTAAGTTTAAAGCTTTAGTCTTAAAGCAGATTCACAAAAAAATTAATAGTTGAACTGCTAATAAAGATCAGGAAGTACTAGACAGCCGTTTCATCCCAATATAGGATAACCCAGTAGTGCGAGCCCATAATCCAACCAGGGGTTTAGCCCGGACCTAGGGGTCTCAGGAAAAACACTTAACCATTAGGACCACTATGTCGGTATCTAGTAGTACAATTCTAACCTTCAATGATACTGCAACTGAGATCAATTTGTAACGAACACAACCTACAAGTTAAATTATTGCACATACGGCCCCTTCAACTAAAATAAATGATCATTAATTGTTCGTTGAAACTAGGAGATTTAAATAATCCAACAAAACAAAAGGTGTTCTATTTCATAAAACATAATACTAATTAGGTATCGAACGGACGAACTGAATTGAATACATAAAACTTAATTTCAAAAAGAAATAATAAATGCAATATGATGTACATTGTAGACTGTAAAACCAATACTCACTTGTCCAGAACAACGAAATTTGCATCCTACTGCGCCAGTAACGGCTTTCTCAATATTCGCAGAATCAAAAATAATAAACGGAGCATTACCGCCCATTTCCAAAAGAACGCGTTTACCATAATTAGCAGCTTTGGCGTAAAGCATCTATTAATAAAGAGTTAAGAAAACAGTTTGAAATTAACAACAGAAAATAAAACAGAAACGAGAACACAAAAGCAACAACAACACCAAGCATTTGTGTGAGAAGTACGCAGATCATTATGTAGTGTCCAATTGAAGAACAGCATATTTTATTTGATTTATCTGTGACAGTTTTGGTGTTTGTTCCAATAGGTTAGACATTAACACCATTGGATGCTGGCTTAGTGGTCTAGAGGTTAAGCGTTTGCACGCGAGACCGACAGGGTCCGATTCCTGCGAGCGGGGTCGTGAATGCGAACTGTTGAGGAGTCCCATACTAGGATGAAACGGCCGTCCAGTGCTTCCAGGTTTTTTATAATGGTCTAGCTTTAATTAACTCATGATTTCAAATATTAAATTACTAAAGATCTCTACGAAAACCCCCTTCTAATTTTATTGATTGAATTTATTCAAAGTGAATTTTGTTCATTGACTTTCAACTGTATTATATCATTCCGAATGGAATTAGTTATTGGATTTTCAATGCATTTTTCCTTATATTAATTAATTCACCGTGATTTTTGTTAGGTCCCGATAAACATAATGAATGGTAACTTTGGGATCCTTTTATGGACCAAAACTAAACGCATCGTATAATTGTTAAATAACTAAACTATTCATATTCATGTTCCTCTTATTATAAGCTTTATTTTGACCTATGAACTAATATTATACGTTTTACCATTCTTGAATTATGCCCTGTCTATTAATCACTACCTCCCACATTCACAGCCACATTTGGCCAAATCTTGTACAAATGTTATTTTCTATTTTATGGTACGATGTGGTCTGCTTGATTGGTATATAAACCCCATATGTTTAAAATACATGATTCATATTGCAGAGGCTGATACTGGTGTTCTGGACTTAACTGGCTGGACTAGGCGGAAAGCAGGACCAATCGGGACTCTAGGCTGCTCGCACGTGTTTTACGCGTACTTGATCCGATCGATAATTCACTGCCCTCTAATTGGCGGTCACAAGTTATAACAATTTTGTGTTACCATAACTGGTCAGTTGATAAAATTTTGTGACTAATAATGATTATATATTTAAAAATACAAAGTGATGGGAGAAATATTTCTTCTCAATTTAATTCTTTATCAAGGCTTTACACAAATTGAAGTCCATTTAACAGTGTACTGATCAATTAATAACAGAGTTTGGAAAATTAAAGCCGAAATTCCATAGCCCATTAATTATCAAAACAAATAACATAAGAGTAAGAATAGAAATGGAAATTGGATGTAAATATAAATGTCTTTTTGTTATCTGTGATATTAGGAATAAGTAATTAGTATAACAGATGAGGTGAAAATTAGGTATTAAGATTATTAGACAGGTTACGTAAGACTTGAATTGGAAATTAAAATATGAAAAAGTAGAAGTTCGTAAATTTTTTATCAAATTAATCAATGTGAAATCTTTTGCCAATAAAAGTTAGTAGTATTGAATTACGACACAAATAGTTAATTATTTGTGCTGGATAATAATGGTGATATTGTCTACCTCACTGAATAAGTGAAGTGATAATTGATAGGAAATGAGTAGTGAAATATGTCAAACTCAATAGGAAGTATAAAAATGTATACTTCACCGAGTAAGTTTACAGACAGTGGTATATGAGGCGACAAAAGAATGGTCCCCAAACGCCCTGGTACGGTCGAGGGTGAGGAGGGTATTTTCGAAATGCTCTTGCATAGTCACGTGCATACAACCACTGCCAGGGAATTTCTACTGACTGAGCGAGGTTGTTGTTTACAACAGTGAGAGGACGAAAAGCGAATGTCCGGCACTTTAACGAGGTTCGTGGACATCGAGAGTCCACCTAGGGGTTTGGAAAACCCTGATTCTAAACCAATGTTACACATGGGCTCCAGGATCATGAGAGAACGAATGGCGTATTAACCCATTGTTGGTCACCCGCTACCATGGGACTGCATCTCCTAACGTTGCTCCACTGTCTTTTGGATCAGACCTGTAGATTGAAGGCTCCGGTTGTGGCCTCCTGAGAAAACCACCTGCCTCGGTTTGGGTACCCGGACAGTATCACATCCCATACACAAATCAACTGACGACTACTACTGGGAATATTATTCTTGCTTCAATTAGCATTCAGACAAATCATTTGATAACATTCATTTCTGTTTTTTATATACTACTTCATTTATCTACTCTCTTCTATTCTCACTTTATGTATTCTTGTTTTTCAGCTCACCTATGATGGAAAATCTCTTTTGTGTGGCGCATATGTATTTGGTGCCTCTTTGTACCATTACTTATGTGTTCAAATAAATAAATAAATAAATAAATAGACAAAAGAATGGTAGTAGTAGTAGTAGTAGTAGTAGTAGTAGGTTGTAAAAAGCTAGGAGAGGTCAAACCAACACATGGCACCAGTCTATGAAGTTATTGACTGTTGGACTGAAGCATATAGGTGGGTGCAGATTATCTGATTGGGGTCCGTGTGACTATCGTAACCAATTGTTAGAGACTGGGTGACAGCTTAAAATCGTCCACAGTAGTGCAGGTGCATTAACTCTTCATGTTTCCTTAGTTTTGGAACCCACTATTTTGTTTCCCGTTTTTAAATACATAATCTTTTCTACTAATATTGATGCCGCTACTGCTTTTGCTACTCTTCGATTTGACCTAATAATTTTATTTCGCTGAGATAATGTAGTGTAGCGATGTGAACCGACCCATGTATGTGTCAGATTCTACGTTACATACGACTGAGTGATTGAAAACTAAGACATTTTCAAAATAAAAAGTAAAATGATTATAATAACAAAATGATGATGTACTTAAAATATCCCAACGAGAAGAAAATTGAATTCCTATCGTTACGCAACTTAGTGAAAGTGTATTAAAATACTATTTTATTAATAAAAATATTTTTATGTGCACTGATCACAGGAATCCCAAAATAATAGTTAAACATACCGTTCCCACTTCTGTAGAGCCAGTAAATCCAATTAAACGAACAATGGGATGAGTACATAATACATTTCCGATTTCTTCTGCTCCATTGTCATCAACTGCGGCTGTGATTACATTCAAAACACCTGGAGGTATTCCTGCTTTTTCAATACCAAGATAAGTAATAGCCAATGATGTTAATGGAGTATCTTCAGCTGGTTTAATAATTACAGAGCATCCTGAAGCCAAAGCAGCACCAACTTTTCGTGTTACCATAGAAAGTGGAAAATTCCACTAAGTATATGAAAATACATTAACATTTTCAACTTGTTAGTAAACATAAAAATCACCATAAATTACTTTCCTTTCATAATCAGTTAATTATGAAGTGATTTTTTCTAAATATTTACTTGCTTTGAATGTAGCACGACTCTTTCTTTTTTCCAAACGTATAAGAACATTTCACCATGTGAGTAAGCGAAATCATTGAAAATATTGAGAGAATAATTGTATGATAAAACTCAGTTTATTATAAGCATAATCGAATTCAAGATATTAAGATTAGTTGTAACTTGTAGAAGAAAAAATGTCAATATCTCATAATAAGGAAAGAAAAGGCAGAAAGTATGAGTAACTGCCAATTACCAGATGTGATAAATACATCCTGTAGATAACTGTACCAACGAAAGCATGTTGGATAAATTAGTCACTTGACTCCATTATTTTATTCAATGACTACATTCAACTGATTTTCGGACTTATAAGTACATCCGGCGTTTTACAGCCTCCTAATATTAGGTGAGATTTCAAATATAATAACTCTACACGTTTTAAACAAGTTTAATATAAAAATGTGAATAATAACGTGTTATTACTAATTCACACAAACAACTAGGATTAGGAGGGTAAAACAATACAACAAAAAGGAAGCATGATCTAATTACCGGAGTAATTACACCAACAACGCCAATTGGTTGTTGAGCAATTAGCTGACGCCGTGAATGAGAGCTTAGTGATGGAATATAAAGACCAAAAACACGTTTAGCTTCTTCAGCATACCATTCCAGAGCGGAAACACCTGACAGAACTTCATTACGTGCATCGAATGACGATTTCCCCTGAAAAATAAAAATAAAACAATTTATTGGTTTTATAGTCAACACCATGGACTAAAGTTAGTTAAGCAATAATTGGGAACCAGAAAGTTGCTTCATTTTAGTATAGGACTCAGTACTAAGTATCTACAACCTCACTATGGATAGAGTTAAGGACAGTTATATCCCACGGCAATCAACCAAATCGCAAAATCGCCCAGGGTCTGACAATCAGTGGAGTTGTGGATGCGCAGTGCCGAGGAGACGAATATTAGGATAAAACAGACGTCGACTGCTTCCTGGATTTCAATTAAGACTAGATGCTGACGATAAAACTTAACAACCTCGGCAAACCTCCTACACAATTCATTCCTCACCAAAAACCTAAAGGTCATGAAATTGGACCCCCAGTAAAGACCGTTTAGCAAGTACTGGTGAGGGGTAGCGAATAATGACGAAATAGTTGATCACTAGCAATATGATATCTAATGGTTTTCCAGTTGATGGTTGTGCATGATGAAAACTGTGTTCAAACTAGACAAAAAAACTAGTCATCTAACTAAACAAACGTCATAGCTTTCTGAATTTTAAAATTTTGGATATATATATATATATAATTTAACAGGAAACATGATAGTAAATTGTAATCATAGAGTCAAGGAATAAATTCTCAGTATTAGTGTCTAAAATGTATAAACAGACATAACAGAATATCTCACATTTTCAGCTACAATAAGATCCGTCAATGAGTCAACATTCTGTCGAATAGTGTCTGCCCATTTACGTATAACTGACGATCGTTCCCCCGGCGTTTTCGATTTCCATTCTTTTTGACTGACTGAAGCTACATGGACGCTAATCTCACATTCATTCTTTGAACAAGCTGGAACCAAACCTAAATGTTCACCTGTAGCCGGATTCACAACTAGAATAAATAAATATTTACGAATATATGTAACTAGGTATGATGACGGATGAGAACAATACTGTATTTACAGGAATGCTACAAAAGTCATGCCAACTCCAATTAACCTGATACTATGGTGAGAACCAGTTTAATAAAATAATCGTTTAACCTACAGAACTTACTTTCGAATACTCTTCTGAACAACTTTAGTTGAAGGCTATTATTAACAGGATTTCATGAGTTATTTCTAAGAATCGTTTAATCAACTTTAATGTGTCTAAAGTGAGAAATTATTAGTTATCTATTGAGAATTGTTGGCCGTTAACTAATGAAAGCTATAACCACAAAGAATAGTTGTATTCAAGAGTTCATATCCCTAAGGACTACAAAACAAAAAATAAAAATCAAGTGGATTTAGATTGTGAAACAGGTAAAATAACTAACCGAATATCCATCGAATGCCAGTTAGCAAAAGAATAAAACTTCTTAGAAGCTTAGACTGTGTGAACACCAGATTAGAAAATATATAGTAATTCAGTTCAGTTACACTAAGTAAAATCTTAATATTAGTATTCTGTAGATTATACAACACTCCTTCCCCTCCCCACAGAACAAGATAATTGTAAATAAAGGCAAAACCGATGAAAATAGAAATAAAATCAGCTAACAAAAAGTCAGTCAGTCAGTCAGTAACAACGTAGAACTTCGTACATCAGTTCGAGTTGCCATACCGCATTAGCACAGAGATGCAGTGGTCGATTCAAATCCCATAGTGGTAGAGGTAGTAAGAGTATAAACAGTAATCGGAAAGATTAGGGTTTGGAGATGCTATTGAAAGAGTATAATCCAGTGAAATAAATTTGGGAAGAGAAAAAACAGACAAGGAGGAATCAGGAGATTAAAATTTGGAAGAACACAAAGAGTGGATGCACCTGCACCATTGCAAACGATTTTGAGCCATGTCATTCAGGGTCTCTAACCATCGCTGTTTTTTTTTGTTTTTTGCTAACAAAAAGTATTGTAACACAGTGAAAGTCAACATAGCTCAATATTCGAAACTATTAATAATTAACATAGTTGAAGGGGTTTTATGGGAATTGACTATTTTTAGGTTGTATTAGTCTTAGAGGTATATCCTCAGTTGAAGTATTACTGAAAAGTTAATGAGCTATTTTGTCCTAATATGGGACACTTCAGAAGTGTGCGCCAACAACCCCACCAGGGGTCAAGACCAACACTTTTAGATCTCGTAGGGAAAGCTTAACTGTTAAAAATAATGGGTCAGAGTCCAGTGGTATAATATCAATCCCAATTAATTTGTGATGTAGCATGGCATTTGTTTTATCTTAGTATTTCACTCCTGACATGTCTGAACTGAACTAGTCGCGACTCGTTACCTAAATGACGTTCCAACTGTGATCGATCTGTGATGAATACAATCTACTAATTAATACAATTCAATTTTCCTCAGAATTCAAGTGCAAGATCTTATACTCGGCTCTAAGTTGCATTTCTGTTGATGAAAGTTGATATAAATCCAATAAGTTGAGTGAGAAACGAACCTGCAACCTAATTATTGAAAGGAAAGTGTCCTAACCAATAAGGAGCTGATTAACTTTTAGACGTTACGATTTACACTGCTGGATATCTTTGACCATTAAAATGCCATACAATACAGAGCGAATAGGCTAAAACGAACAGCAAATACAGCCGCTGTTAGTTACAATTTCCTGATTTTGTAATTAAACACAAATTTCACTAGCCGTTCGTTCAAACATCACTAAATATTATTATCTATCACTGAAGTTTTAATACTAGACTGATTTCAAGTTTTTTTATCCAAAAAATTTCGTTAAGTGAGAATAAAATATTATGAGACATTATAATATTACAGTGCTCTACAGAGATAACTTTTAAAGATCAACCCTAGAAAAGTAATGTACCAAGACAAGTTTATGTAGTCCTGAATGATAGATAAGCACAATTTCAACGAAAATTTAAATTTCTTTGAGCAAATCCGCAAAAAGTAAACAAACCCGAAAACGTTTTTCCAGACAAGGAAGGTTCCCATCTCCCCGAATAGAATGCTTTGTTTTCTGGAACTAACTGGCCCCAAAATGGTCCCATCCGACTGCATGATAAACTTAGTTTTACACTGGGAATATGTAATACATTTGATTTCGCGAGCCACCTTTTTCGCACACACTAACACAGAAAGAAAACAAAATTACATGTCTTTCTATCGATACTGAAACTGAATAGCAAACTGCAGATACATTTACTGGATTCTTAGCCGTGTTTTCGCATGAAGACAAGTGATGCTACTTGGTTACTGAAACTGAAGCAGTCGAAATGTAGTTCGAGTCCATCACCCAGTTCTTTCAAATACCGACACAACTAACTTATCCACAAAAATTGCAGCGATGTGATTAAAGCACAAGATTTTCGACTACTAGGCGTAATGCTTAGGCTTTTCTTCACCAACTGTGACTTGGGAAGTTGAGCAATACTACTAAACCGGACAGTCAGTCAGCTACAACGTAGAACCAGGCACATATATGCATCGGTCCAGGTTGCCATACCGCATTAGCACAGCAAGATAACACCGGATTCATAAGAGTGGTTAGGTCAAATATGGTAGTATATAGGAGAAAGATTGCATATAAGGATACAGTACAGGAAGAAAGAATTAGCTAGTAGAAAGAAAGATATGAAGTGATTTTAATCTCTTAGTTTAAGGGAAGACAGAGAGTGTATACACCTACGCCATTGTGATCGATTCTGAGCCATGTCACCAAGAGTCTCCAACCATCGGTTACGAAAGTCACGCGGACCCCAACCAAGTAGTCTGCATCTACCAACATGGCTCAGACTAGAGGTTAGTGACTTCAAGCACTGATGCCACGTTTTGGTTTGGCCGCCCCTAATTCTCTTCCAACCATCTCTAACACCCGTTAGCATTGCACGACGTGGTAATCGGTGTTCAGGCATACGTAACACGATGAAGATTAACAACCTCATCAACTGATTTACCATCATTCCTTAATACCATGCGTCTAACCTCACTATTACTTACTCGGTGATCCCAACAGACGCCAGCAATATTTCTGAGACATCTGTGGTCAAATACTAGTAGCTTACGGGTGTCTTCTACTCTTAAAGGCCATGTTTCACTGCCGTAAAGTAAAACAGAACGGACTGCCGCGCAGTATACTCGTCCTTTTATTGATAGACGGATATCTCGCCTTCGCCAAAGGTGACGTAAGTTGGCAAAAGCCAGACGAGCTTTTCGAATCCGTGCTGAGATTTCGTCCGACACCAGCCCATTAGGGCTGATCAGAGTTCCAAGATAAGTGAAGTTGTCAAAGCGTTCGACTACCTAACTCCCTGTCCTCAGTTCAGGTGTTGACGCAGACCAGTCCTGGAGCAACAACTTGCAATTAGAGGGAAAGAAGCGCATTCCAAACATTCTGGCATTGTTGATTAGTGCTACCAGAAGACTGCATTTTGTCAGCGTCTTCACCAAACAGGACTATGTCATCTGCGTATTCTAAGTCGATAAGTGGACCTCCTGGTAGGAGATCAATACCCGAGAATTCAGTCGACGAGAATGTTATTTCCATCAGTAGGCCTATGATGAAGTTCAACAAAAATGGAGAAAGTGGACAGCCTTGACGGACATTACTTGAGGTTGAAAAAGTAGATGACAGTTCGCCATAAGCTCTGACTCGACTGGTAGTGTTCGAGTAAAGAGCCTTTACAAGGTTTATGTACTTCTGGGGTACGCCTTTCAATGACAGACACTGCCACTAAACCGGACAGGAAACGTGTAGCTCAGTAAGATATGTAAATTTGCACTTAATCATTAGATTGTATTACATTACATCAATCCATTTTATTGCTGTTCATCAAACATACGTAGAATAATTGTAAGATCAGGTAGACAAGCTGTGATTGAATGTGACTTCAGGAAAAAATTAGGTTTTCTTTCCAAAGAGACCAATAAAGACTCATGACCAGTTTATTGGAAACATGTATTTATAAATTACATTTATTTATTTGAACACATAAACATTGATACACAGGGGCAACAAATACATATGTGCCATACAACAATAATGAGGCCAGTAGTAGTTATCATTGATTAGTGGAATGAAGTGATACTGTCCGGGTACCCAAACCGAGGCAGGTGGTTTTCTCAGGAGGCCACAACCGGAGCCTTCAACCCACAGGTCTGATCCACAAGGCAGTGGAGCAACATTAGAGATGCAGTCCCATGGTAGCGGGTGACCAACAATGGGTTAATACGCCATTCGTTCTCTCATGATCCTGGAGCCCATGTGTAACATTGGTTTAGAATCAGGGTTTTCCAAACCCCTAGGTGGACTCTCGATGTCCACGAACCTCGTTAAAGTGCCGGACATTCGCTTTTCGCCCTCTCTATTTCGTAAATAACACCCTCGCTGCGAGAAGTCAGTGTTCGGATTATACTACAGTGGGGACATTCACATGGTATCATTTAAGATTCGGTGTGAAATTATGAAGGTTACCGATGTAAGGTAAATGATCAAACCCCAATTTAAATAAGCAAACTTGTGACGTGAATAACTAGTGTCCTATTCTAATTCGGAAAGTTTGAATGATTTACAATTGATTGATCACTAGGTGGTAATCAATGTCATGTATGTTAGATCCTTCTTAGTGTAGATAGAATTATTTATTTATTTTAACACATAGATATTGGTACAAGGAGGCACCAAATACATATGCGCCACACAAATCTCATTCGATATGTGTGAGGGCTGTGATACTGCCCGAGTGCCCAAACCGAAGCAGATCGAATCCTATCGACCAAGTTGCAATGTGGTCATCAGTCTAGGTGACTCAACATTGCGTGCACTATGTTGAGATAAGATGGTGATTGGAGGTAGTCAACAGGGTTTCCTGTTGAGCCATCCTTTTCCAATGATAATTTCCCTATCTATCTTTTGATGAATACTTAAGCCAATAACAATCAAACGATTATTAAACTTTCCTTATTTTAAATTTTTTTAATACATTTGTTTATTTAACCTCACTGACATCATGTAGAACAAGTTTATTATCAGTATTATTATCATCCTGTAAAAATAAGTATATATATATATATATATATATATATATATATATATATATACGATTGTACAGCTTTGAAAATGAATTCGCCGAAAAGAGAATTCTTCTCTGAACTAATCTTACCTATTTAATGTCTTAATGGGTGTATTTCGTTTATTAAAAAACTCCAAGGACACGAGATTTTGTTAGAGTACCACATGTGATACCAGCCCTACTAAGCACAAGTACCATTTTGATTATTTATTAGCGAAATGACAGTACGTGAAAGAAAGGGGTCAATAGGATGAGCAAAAACGGTTATTTATGATTATCAAAGTGGATGTCTGGACAGTAAGCATTTACGGATTATTACGGAGGATGATAAGTACTGAACCTAAGGCACCAAGTATCCTCAAACAGCCTAAATCAGACATTAAATAACTCATGTGTGAACTAAACTACCTAATCTATATAGGTGTCGTTAGCAAGGTTGAACTTGATAATTTCGAATAAATTGAGCATCGGGTAGATTGTTAAAAATTAATACATTTGTAATATCTCGACCTAATTTTTCGACTCATCGAGAGTCGAAAAATTAGGTTTTTTTCAATTCTTTGATGTTTCATAACCCAACGTATGCCACTTCCTCAGAGAATAAATAAACAAATTAAATTAACCCGTTTGAATAGTACAAAGTAACAAAGCAGGAATATTTGGTGCGATCAATCAAAAACAGGTCCGATCAAGTCAGTCATTTCATTCCGGTCTAGGTGATTTATGTGAGGCATGACTATATACTTGTGTGCATGGTAAAGGACGAAAAAATGTGACCTTTGTGGTGCGAAATGATACAGTTGAAATTGTATATGCGATAAAGGTGTGAGATATGAATAGAATCAGATATAGTAGCTCGGAGAGATGATCCAAATCGGATGGATAGTGAGGCCTCCTTTTCTATTGAAGGTAGTAGGATTAAGAAATAAATAAATAGCTTCAGATACTCGCCCTTCTTTGTAGTTCGAAAAACATTTTTGTATTATTTTGGTGTTTCTAATATCGATCCGATGGTTGTTGAAAATAGCATGAACTGCTATTGTTGATTTAATTTGGAGTCTTTACAGTTCTACGGGATTATTAGGCTGTTTAAGCGCTCGTCGTAAGGGAGCTTGGAAAGACCACTAATTTTGCTACCACACATTGAACACGCTCAGGTGAGTTCGTATCCTTAATAAAACATGGATCCGATGCTTGGATACAATATTCTAAGTGTGGTCTTACGTAGGTGGTATATAAAGTTCAAAACATCTCGTCAAAGCGTTTGAATGCTCGGAGAAGTGACCATAAAGCAAGAAACCCTTTGGAAACTGCTGCGTTGCAATGCGTAATTGATTACAAGTCATGGCTTACTATTACCTGAAAGTCTGCTCATGCACGTATGGAAGAGACGCGCCGTATATAGTATACTGATGAATATTACCGTATCCGATGAGCATGAGTACACTAGGATTAATTTTTAAGTCCCAACATTGGGATCAACTATTTGTCTAGGTCAACCTGACCATTAAAATGATCAGCCTCACTTCTTATTGTTCTTTGGATTTTGACACCATCTGCAAAAAATATTATCAACGACTTAAGAAATTGCAGTAATTCGTTGACATAAAAAAGGAAAAGTAGGAGACCTAAGTCTGTCCCTTGAGTTATGCCGCCTTTGACCAGCTTCCATTCAGAGCGTCCCATTTACTATCACTCTGTCCTCGGACACATAGGAAGTTTCCTATCCATTTCTGTGCAACAACTGTTATTTCGAAGCTCCAGAGCTTCTGCATAAGACCTAAGTCAGAATCCTTATCAAATGCTTTGCTAAAGTCTATGAATAATACATCGACATACAGACAATTATCTAGGGCTGCTGCCCAATATTATTTCGCAATAAGTTGGTTAAACGTGAATGCTTGTTTCGAAAGGCGTGTTGCTCGGAGGTTAACAGATTGTATGATTCTATGTGACTTAGTACCTTAAGCCGAATTATCTCTTCAAGTAACTTAACTACTATGCTGGTTAGAATGACAGATCAGTAGTTAGATACGATCTGTCAACTTCTGAAACTTACTACTCGAATAAGTGATGTCTGGAACATTAATGTAATCACTCGAGAGAATTTTCTTAGCCTTAGTCCCCGAAATCCGGTGTTAGGTCAGACATTCACAGAAGCTTACTAGGAAAGGAATAACATGGTCCGTCAGCCCACTATGCTAAATACCCATCCAGGATGGGGATAAGAATCTGGTTAACCAAGTCGGTAAACTTCAGTTGTACAAAATTCTATCAAAAGTTAGTAGCACCCAATCTTCCTATTTTCGGTGAAACTTTGTACGAATTTTGGGTAAATTACGTAGCCGCAATAAAAAAGCCTTAGGGAAACGGCACCAGATTTTCAAAATATCACCAGATTTTGGAAGGATCACTAAAATGTTAAGGGAAATTTCAGGTTTCCCCAATAGTTCCGCAAAATCTCGCAACACTTTGGGGCTTTTCCTCAAAATCTCCCCAAACTTTGGGGAAAACCGCAAAATTTTTACGAATTTGATGGAAAATCCACACTTCACACACAATAGGGAGACTGGGGATCAAATGAACGTTCTGTTATTTGATGACCATTCGGTGAGGCTATAATTTATGGACGACCTTCTAGCGACGCTGAAGTGGCCTTGAGGGAACAACTTCTAATTAAGACTAAATGAGGGTTATAAAGCAGTTAGAATTCTCATTTATAGTTGATGTTTAGGGTTTAAAATTAGATTTAGGGTTTTCGCCACGAACTGACATCAGCTTTTTAGCCAAATGTATGAACGAATTCCGCGCCAAACTCGTGGATCATTATCTTATATCTGGTTGGTTCGTCCATAAATTATAGTCTCGCCGACCATTCTTCTAAACCTTTTTAGAAGTTAGTTGACTGCAACAATAGGCAATCATACTTTGTTTCAGGAAAAAATTATCTACAAACAACTCTTATGAATGTCGGCACTCCACCTGTTTTATCACAATCTTACCCTAGTGTTACACCATCTAAAAGTCATTAGACTTTGAGAATTCGCAGGATCACGCGTAAATTCAAATCATTCACTGTTGGTCACAAGGTCATATCGCGCAACATTTTGAATTAGCCGCTTAAAGTAACAGTTCATCAAGTCTTCTGTCCTTATCGGTAAGGATGGAAGGTCAAATGTCCTGGATTATTCTTTGCAATTCATAGTGCCGTGAAAATCAAATCTCACTTTAAATGTATCGAAAAGTGTTAATTTTACATATTCCGATGGAGAACTCCATCAAATCACCACTCGACGCGAAAACCAGAAGTTCAAACAGTCTTCAGTTTTCAGTCTTCAGTAATAAGGATAGTAGGTTGATGAACCTGTGTTAATCCTGACACATTGCTTTCCAGTGAAGGTCCAGCTTTTCCTTGAAAGTATTCACTGATGGGGCTGATACCACTTGTTCGGGTAAGGCGTTCCAATGATTGACTACTCGATGAGAAAAACGGGATCCCACTTTAAGTTTATTAGATCGTGGTTTATGAACCTTCTTGCTATGACCTCGGAGATTATTAGTGCTGGAGGGAGCAAAAAGATAAGACATATTAACACCCAAATCATAATTAAAGATACGAAATGCCAGTATAAGGTCACCTCGTGTCCTACGATACGACAAGGGGAAAAGATTTAGGCGTTTTAAGCGCTCATCGTAAGGGAGACTAGAAAGACCCTTCACTAATTTCGTTCCCACACGCTGGACACGCTCAAGGGAGTTAGTATCCTTTACTAGACACGGGCTAGCTGCTTGGATACAGTACTCTAAATGTGGTCTAACATATATGGGGTATAAAATTCGAAACGTTTCCTCGTCAAAAGATTTGAACGCTCGGCGAAGTGACCATAACGCACGAAAACCTTTGACAGCGGCTGCTTTGCAATGCGCAGTTGTTTTTAAGTCATGACTTAATATTACTCCTAAGTCCTTATGCTCTTGAACGCATGGAAGAGGTTTACCCTCAATAGTGTAACGGTAACTATTACCGTGACCGACGTGCATTAGTACACTCTTCCTAGCATTAATTTCTAAGCCCCACTCTCGAGCCCATCTAACTAAATCGTCTAAATCAGCTTGAAGATCCACATGATCAGCCGCACTTTTTATTGTTCTCCAGATTTTTACATCATCTGCAAACAATAATGTCGACGACCTAAGTAACAGTGGTAACTCATTAACGTAGAGAAGGAAGAGCAGAGGGCCTAAGATGGTGCCTTGGGGTACACCACTTTTGACCGGCTTCCAATCGGATAGCGTTCCATTGACCCTAACTCTCTGTCTGCGGTCACATAAGAAATTTCCTATCCACTCATGTACAGTACCTATTATTCCGAAGCTCGTGAGCTTCTGCATAAGACCTACGTGTGAAACCTTGTCAAACGCTTTGCTAAAATCTATGAATATCACGTCGACAGACAGACCGTGATCTAGGGCTGCTGTCCAATCCTCCCTCGCAATAAGCAAGTTAGTCAAGCATGAACGCTTGTTACGAAATCCGTGTTGCTCAGGAGCTAACAGATTGTGTAAATCTATGTGGCTTAGCAACCTAACCCGAATTATCTTTTCGAGTAACTTAACGACTATGCTAGTTAGACTGACAGGCCGGTAGTTAGATACTATCTGTCGCTGACCGTCCTTAAATATAGGACTAACTATAGCGTCCTTCCAATCTCTAGGGAGTTGGGCGAGTGAGAGGGACATGTTGAAGAGTGTCGCAAGCGGTTTTGAAATAATGTCCGCAAGAGATGACAGCAACCGTGGATGTAACCCGTCAGGGCCCGGTATCTTACCAGGTTTGAGGTTAGTTATCAACGGAAGGACAGTTTCCTCAGTCACCTGTACGGATTCAATGGTTGGTATCTCGGTGTGAGTGGGACAAGTATTTGTTACAATAAACGTAGAGAAGACTTCGCTAAAATAATCTGAAAAAGTCTCAGCTTTTGCTCGATCTGATTCAGCTAGTAATTCTGAATTTTCGTGTAACAGCAACGGGGGAATACCATCACTACGTTTCATTTGCCGTTTAACATACGAAAACAATCGTTTCGGACAAGTACGGCTATCATATACTAACTGTCGTTCGTAAGTGGTACGGGATTTCGCTATGGTTTTCTTACAGATATTACGGTATTTTTGATACTCACGCTTAAATGGTGCATGACCTGTCAACAAGAATAAGTCCCAGAAATGTTTCCTACGCTTTAACAGCTTCCGGGTTTCCTTATTAATCCATGGAGGGCAATGTGATAGCTTACGTGCTGACCATGGGATAAACGGCGACGTTACGGACTCGAATGTAGCCTTAAACTTATTCCATTCATCTTCGATCAATCCATCCGCGTCGACCGACCAATCGGTCGAGATAGCACGGTTTCTGATTTCCGGAATATTAGCTCGCCAGATATTGGGACGGGGTGGAGCAGATACGAATTGTATACCATGTGTCCTAAACTTAAAGTGAATTACAACGTGATCACTGTTCACTAGTGGAGGAAGGTGCTGGATATCAAAGACATCCTCAGAGTGGTGGGTGAGGGCGAGGTCCAGCAGTGACGGAACATGATGCAAATCAATATGTGTCGGTTTTGTGATACATTGTACAAGTGCACACTGAATAACGGTAGATAAAAGGTCGCTATCGAAACCGCTACCTGGAGCTGTAAGCTCTATCCAGTTGATATGCGGTGCGTTGAAGTCCCCAATGATGAGACAACATTCTGCCATACTCCAAGAACAGATGTGTCTTAGGATAAAGTCGTCAGCCAGACAAGACGGACTACGGTATATTCCCCCTATAGTCACTAACCCATTTCTAGATTTAATCTTACAACATGCAACCTCACATGTGCCACTGATATGAGCCTCCGATATGGTTGATTGTATACGAAAGTGATCCCTAACGTAAAATATTATACCTCCCCCTTGCGACTTGAAACTCTATCACTTCTGATACAGATATAACCAGCAATGAAAGGAGAACAGTCTATATCAACGGTGAACCAAGTTTCTGTAACAACGATTATATCGGGACATAATTCTTGCACCATCAGACTTAGCTCGGACGTTTTATTTCTAAGACTACGAGCGTTCGTGTAGCACACACTTAAGGTGTTTTGGAAATCAATCGTTCTACCCATACAGGCCTCGGAAGCATTGGCTTCCAAGACCTGACTACCCGAAAACCCTTAATGGTAAGGTTATTTTCGCCATTTAATTTGCGAGTCCTCAACTCCGTAAGAGCATTCTTCCACTTGATTCGATCCTCAAGCGGCCAATCTGGTCGAATACGGATATTTGAGGCACGAGTTTTTTGTGCGCTTTTCAATAATATGTCTCTTTCTTCGAAACTCCCGAGAACCAGCTTCAGGATCCTTCTTGGTTGGGTCTCGCCTCCAACCCATTTACCAAGTCGTATTACTTTTGTAATATGTACCCCTGAAACCTCTTCAGGTAGTACATTCCTGACCACAGACTCCACTAACTGTAGGTCATGTGCGTGTCTTTTAGCAGGGTCGTTGTCTTTCGACTCCTCTAGATTCCAAATAATTAAACTAGGGATGGGTTTAGCTTCTTTTGAAACTGTGTTCACAGCTTTCGACCGTGACGTTAGATCCTGTATTTTAACTACTGGTAGCTTACGATTAGTTTTTATTTTAACAGAGTCCTGGGAGTCAAGCGAATGACTCACAACAATGTCAGACGAAGCTTTACTATGAGACTTTGGCGGATTGGTCTGAGAGTCCACCAAGGACTTACCAAGTAAACAGTCATTAGTTTTAGCTATCTTTCCTACTCTTCTGCGTTTTCGCGTCATCCATTTTCCATCAGTCGAAACGTCTACATTAGAACAACTCGGGACAGTAATTGTTTTATCTGGGTCACCGGTTGCTGCTGTAGCAATATGGCCACCAACGTCTAATGACGTGTCACTCACTGATCGTTTCGGGGGAGAACGTTTAACTGTGGGTTGCACAGGTAGATGTCTGGCTTGCGCCGTGATAGCACTTACGACACTAACGCAATCTTCGCCATCCGTACCAATGTTATCAGTACAGCCCTCATCAACCTTCTTATTAGCCAACACCAGGAGACTAATTGCTTCCTGGATAAGCAATGTTTTGCTCGAGCAACAAAAACTACAAAGCCAATGAGAGTTGGGCTTTGAACACCTTTTATATGCAGTGGGGCTTAATCGGGTGCACATCTTATGGAACCACTTATTACACTCATCACATTGCATCCCTTCATCCACGGGAAATAAGCAGTATGGTTGTCCACATTTATGAGTAGACCTAGCCATCTTGAAAATCAACTAGAACGGTGACGAAAACAGGATATGTAGAAGGATTTTCAAACCTTAACTAAATAAACCAAGTAAAAGTCGACCAAGTATGCTTCGATGCAATAAATACACAGAAGCAAAATCGAAAAACTCAATAAAATATCACTTTAACTGGGGTAGATGCAATTAAAGTGTAAACAGTAGTTTTGATGCGTAATTTACGATCAAAACAGTTAATTAACTCAAAGAGAAAGAATACCACTGTCCTTTTTAAATAGCGCACGTAAACGATTTAATCTCGGTTTTTGAACATTTCTAAAATGTTCCCTCTGATGATCAATTCTAGATGGAAGGAAAAATAAGGCAGTAATTGCGAGATCATATTTCTGTATTCGGTGAGTCAGCATAAGACCACCCCGTAACCTTCAGTATGATAACGGAAATAGGATGAGGTATCTCATTATGTCTTCAAAAGATAGGCCAAAGGAACCTTATTCCATTTTGCTTCTTTGACCAACTTTTCCTGGCATACTAACCTCATAAATGAAATAAGGACTCATTGCTTGAACCTCACATTCCAGGTGTAGCCTAATAAAATTCAACTATAAAAACCTTAACATCTCTTCGTCCAAGTGATAAAATGACTCATGAATAGCCCATAAGACCTTCAAGCCTTTAGCAGAAGTAGCCTTTCAGTTACTTGTGGTTTTTAGATCATTGCCTTGATCTTTAAAATCCATTACTTCAGGTAAAACAATCCACTTATTGTATAGGATGTGGATCATTTCATTATTTATTTACATTATAGC